TAGAAGTCTGAGTTCCAGGTACCAGGCTCTAGAGGCTGGGTGAAACCCCTTGACTTTGGGCTTCAGCTCTGGTCTTGCTCCTGGCCCATTGGAGCTGGAGGCATCTCTTTACTCAGGTAGCTGCTGACTGCTGAGGCTTACAAGCCCAAGGTCAACAAATAAAATGGCACAGTTCCAATATTACCAAACCACATGGCAGGCCATTGATTCAAGTCCATTAGAAGTCCCAAGGTCAGCAGGGCAACATGGCAGGCTGCTGAACAATGACTCAGCTACATGCAGGGTTCAAGCATGCCATCAGCTGGAGACCTTCTTCAGAGTTGCTTCTTATCTACCAGAAACAGCCCACATCCCTAAAGCAGCTACTCAACTGCTCCAGTAGATTCTACCATGGAGCTGATTACTAGTCTCACCATGGAGAATTACTACTTCCAGCAGGCCAGCCACTCAGCCAGGCCTGGTTAAGCTGACATACAACCTTAGCTACCACAGATACGTTATTTTCTTTGTAGCCACTTCCCCATTGCCATTGAAGATGAAGTGAAGGTCAGTGGTGCACGGATTCAGATGCCACAGAGCTCAGGCAGGTTGCTTTCCGTCTGTGTCCCAGTGGCATCGTCTGTATGGTGGGAATAGTCACAGTGGCTACCTCATGGGTTTGTGGTGAGAATTAAATGAGACGAGTGTGAAGTGCCTACACAGTAACACACAGTAAGTGCTCAGAAAGCCTCAACTGCTGTTCAGTTCTTATTATCAGTTACTTACATTTATTTTCTCTTTGTGAAAGCAGTGTATGTTTACTGTCAGGAAATTGAAAAATAAAAAGCAAGAAGAACATACAGCTCACTTGACATTTCCTGTGTGTATGTCTTTCTGATCTTTTAAAATGCATGTGTATATTAAACAAAGACAGAAGTCACACTGTGGATGCTCCCTGCTGCTGTTGTGTAGCGTTCCTGTCCAGTGACTGGTGTAGGAAGGTGGTGGCTTGGATGGTGTCAAATAACATGCTCCCTCATTTTAAACTTGACCCTGGGAAAGATGTATTCCCTTTTAGCCTGTGTTTCTAGGGTTGATGTGTCTAAAACGCATCACCTCAAACTGTTGTCACATGAACAACTGTGATCGTTCAGCTTGACTTACTCATGGAATTAAACTACTTAGGGATAATTGTGCCTCTCTGTTGTAATACATGAGCGTTGTTGTGTTGTTAGGTGCCGGCGAGTCAGTTCAGACTCCCAGCGACCCCATGTCCAACAGAATGAAACACGGCCTGGTCCTGCGCCAGCCTCCCAGTTGCTGCTGACCCATTAGTAGTACAGATAGATGGCAACGTCTCAGACAGTTCAGCCACTGCCTCCTTCCCCCAGTTTTATTTGGGTCAGAATCTACTCCACTGCCTTTCCGCCTAAGCGATCGACCTGGAACTTGAAAGCGGAGGAGAAGACAGCCATGCCTGTGACCCGCCTGATAATGGAGGAGAAAGCAGCCGGATACTGGAAGAGAGAGTACATTGCAAAGCAGGTCGCCTCTGTGAAAGCCGTGGTGGCCCAGCTGCTGCGGCCTGTGAACCCGTACACCGGCCTTCCAGTGAAGATCAAGGAGGCACTCAGGTGAGCTGCATCGTCTTGAAGTGGGGGGTACGCTGTGACGTCACTGAGCAGTGCTGCAGGTGACAGTCACTTTAGAGAGAATGGTGGTCTGTGTTCCCAGGATTGCATATGTAGATGGTGGGGGGCTGTTGCTGATGTCCTGCATCTATAAAATACGTTGTGTTTTGTCGTTCTGTGTGTGTATGGTCTATAGTTGCCATGTAAAGCAGAAATACCCTTGTAACGCGATCTGTAGAGCAAGAGCCCTCCGCAAGGCCCCCGCCTCAGGCAGAACCCTGGTCGTCTGTTCGGGGTTGCTGGTACCTGGACCAGTGGGGAAGAGTGTCTAGAGGGAGGGCCGTGGGTGGAATGGAAACTTGATTTGGGCATGTTGCCAGGACTTTGCTTTTGGCTTTTAAGGACCTGGACGGTTTAGAGAGGTTATGTGAAATGCCTTGAGTATCCTTTTTTCCACCATGAGGTAGACGTTTTTGGCTTTTTATTTTTCTCTCTCTCTAGAATATCTGGTTTAGGTTGGGTGATCATACTGAGAGACAAAAGTGGAAAAGAACACGTCACGGAGTTTGTTGACCTTTCCATAAATGACACATCGGTCACTGTTGTGTGGTATGGCAAAAACTGGCCACGTCTGGCCACTTTGTCAACCTTAGATTTATGTGGCGTGACACCAGTTTTTATGGACCGGTATAAACCCCCCTTCAAAGATGGGTAAGTACCAACTCAACAAAATTGTTGGTGAGTGAATCTGATATGTGAACACCAGGTGGATGACTTTGTAATTCAGAAGTGCTACCCCAAACCCCCTGCTGTCAAGGCAGTTCTCACTCCCAGAGGCCCTAGAGGACAGAGCAAACTACCTTGGATGGTTTCCAAGGCTGTCAGTCTTTACAGAAGCAGACCACCTCATCTTTCTCCCATGGAGCAGCTGGTGGGTTCAAATCGCCAGCCTTTCAGTTAGCAGCTGGGCACTTGAGTCACTTTGCCACCAGGGCTTCTAGAAACACTACCAGTGGATTTTAATTTCTTTGCCTCTTAGATTTCCCCATTAGTCTGGATCACTGTCAATAGAAAAGAAAGGGTTTTTCACATTTATGATTGGGTCTCAAGGTTCCTCATGCCTTGCTTGTCTGTCGTCATTGAATACTGATACTCTAGGTAACATTTCCTGGCTAATTGATGGTTAACTTTGGAGGTTTTTAGTTTTAATCATATCACGGAAAGATGTTGTTAGGTGCCATCGACTTGGCTCCGACTCATAGTGACCCTGTGTACAACAGAATGAAACACTGCCTGGTCCTGTGCCAACCCCATGATCCTTGCTATACCTGAGCCCATCGCTGCAGCCACTGTGTCAGTCCTTGTTGAGGGCCTTCCCCTTTTTTGCTGACAATCCACTTAACTAAGCATGAGAGCCTTCTCCAGGGAATGGTCCCTTCTGACAACATGACTGGTTAGGTGAGATGAAGTCTGGTCATCCTTGCTTCCAAGTAGCATTCTGGCTGCACTTCTTCCAGGACAGATTTGTTAGTTCTTCTAGCGGTCTATGGTACCTTTAGCATTGTTTGTCAACATCACAACTCAAAAGCATCAACTCTTCTTTGGTCTTCCCATATTCATTGTCCAGCTTTCACATGCATGTGAGGCAACTGAAAATACCATGACTTGGGTTAGGCACACCTTAGTCCTCAAGGAGACATCTTTGCTCTTCAGCACTTGAAACAGGTCTTTTGCAGCAGATTTGCCCAATACAATACGTTATCTGATGTCTTTACTGCTGCTTCCATTGGTGTTGATTGTAGAACCAAGTAATATGAAATTTGTGACAACTTCAATCTTTTCTCTGTTTATCGTGATACCATTTATGGGTCCAGTTGCGAGGATTTTCGTTTTCTTTGTGTTGAGACATAATCCATGCTGAAGACTGTAGTCTTTAATTTTCATCACTAAGTGCTTCAAGTCATCTTCACTTTCAGCAAGCAACATTGTGTCATCTGCATATCTCAGGTTGTTAATGAGTCTCCCTCCTATTCTGATGCCATCTTCTTCTTCATATAGTCCAGCTTCTTGGGTTATTTGTTCAACATACAGACTGAATAAGTATGGGGAAAGGATGCAGCCCTGAAACACACCTTTCCTAATGTTAAACCATACAGCATCCCCTTGCTCGGTTCAGGTGCCTACTTCTTGGTCTATGTATAGTTTCCTCATGGGCACAGTTAAGTGTTCTGCAGTCCCCATTCTTCGAAATGCTATCCATAATTTGTTAAGATCCACACAATGGAATGCCTCATACAGAGTGCACTAATCATAGTTTAAGGATCAGGTAATGAAGTCATCATTATTAGTTATTTTTAGGTGCCTTTCTGTTAGACAAGACATTCTGATGGTGCAGTGGTTAAGGCATTCAACTGCTAACCAAAAAGTTGGCAGTTTGAACCCACCAGCTGCTTTCTAGGAGAAAGATGAGGCAGTCTGCTTCCATAAAGATTTATAGCCTTGGAATACCTATGAGTCAGTTCTACTCTGTTCTATAGGGTCATTATGAGTTGGACTTGGCTGAAGGCAGTGGGTTTGATTTTTTTTAGGTTCTGCTGGACTGAATAGATATGATCTTGTGTAAGTAACTTGCTCTTTCCTTGCCTCTGTAAAATGGGATGGTGACAGTGATGTAGCATTTACCATGTGTGGTTGCTATAATTGTGAAATGTGTGGACTGGTGTGTGTCACTGATAAGCTAATGCTTATTGGGCACTTACTGTTACTCTGTCATAAGGTGGCTGTGAGCAGTCCCATGGTGGATAAGCCTGGCACCTTGCTTTTCTGACAATCTCTCCTGCTCTTTTTTTCTCATCTTGAGCTCTTTTCTCAGAAAAGTTGGGCTCATTTCCTGTGCAAGCTGACATGTCACGTTAAGTTTGTTATTACAGAATTGCCTTCTTCAGTGTGATTTTCTGCCCTCTCTGCCACCCTCCTTGCTCTCTCCACATCTTTTGACTTGTCTGTGGCATTTACCACATCACTTTTCTCACTGTCCTGATGTGCTGAGCATCCATCCTTTTGCATTGATCCCATTCATACCTGTCCTTGCTCTGGAAGGCGTTGACATCCCCCACACCAGTGCCTCTGTCTCCATGGGGACAGCATCCTGCTGTGGTCTCCTAGCTGTGCACACGTTTCTGCAGCTCTGTGGCCAGGACTTTGTGTTGGACTCTCCCTGGGTGCTGAT